GCTATATGATAACCCAATGGGCGGGGCTGAGATAGATTTTGGTCGCCCGACCGGAGATATCGCTAGCTCCGGGACGTCGGGCTAGCGATTTTTGCGAGCCCTGAGACTGTTTTATAATATCTATTTCTCCATAGTTATTTATGTTTACAAATGATCAGTGGAAACATTCTAATAAATTCAAGTAACAAAATGATTATATAAATCCAGGTCCTTGAAAAGTGAAAGTTTGCCTTTGCAAATGAAAAGCTATACTTGAAGTGTGAACATAAAGTTGTCATTACTTTGCATGGTTGTCATGAAATGAGAGTGCGAGAAAACAGCTTGCAAGGCGAACACATGCTAGCATGGAAGGGGACAGGTGTGAGCATGAATGGATGAAGAGCAGCGGTCAGCAGTGGGACAGGTGGTTGTAGGAAAAGAAGTGTGTTTGTGTCAATCTAGTAAATGACTTCTTTATTTATTTATTTAGTACTCGCAAATGCTCAGTTGACCTTTATAAAAATCATGTTCTGCTGGTGTTTTACCATCAAAAAGGCACAAATGTTTAAAACTTGTCTGGTTTCCACAGCAGCAAAGGCAAAAATATTTTTCCCCAGGCTGAACTTGTGGTACTATATTAAACAGCAATGGAGTGAGTCTGAAGTGTAGCTCTCTGTGTGCGCTTATTCACTCTGAATACCAAAGAGATAATAAAGCAGAGTGCTGAAAATTTCCCCAAATTTTAGACGGTGACTCCAGGCTCTTTAGTTTCCTTTAGCATATTTTGGCTTCTATTTTTGCCCTTTAAAATCAGATGAATTTCACCCAAAGCGGCTGTCATGAGTTCTACATGGTGAATTGGCTGTCAGGCACACCAAATGCCTCTCTGTGAGATGCCAACTGTGGGCGTCTGAGATACGCTGATTATTCTGTCTGACGCTTGTTGAGTCAATCTGTCTCAGCCTTCAGACGTTATGGCCGTTTGGTCGCTTCGGCCTGGAACAGCCAGACATTGGTCACTGTTATCGCTCCATTTTGTCATTGTTATCAGTGTTGTATTTGCCATTACCACATTTGTTTATTGCTAAATGTGTACTTGTAAAATGCTATAACATTTATTGCTCTTTACAAAAAGCATGCGAAGTTATAATTTCAGAAATGCAAATTATATGTAAGCTTTTCTGGAAATTACTTTGGAAATGTATGATGACTCCTTTCGTTCCTCCGTGCATGCTCAGACACCAGTGTAGACAGAGGAAGAGAGACATAGCAGCTAGGGTCACTGCTGTTATCACCACTGGGATGAAACCATGGCAACCACGCTTCGGACCTAATAACCATTACTGCCTGTTACTGCGACCCCCCCCTACTCTCACCTTTACCCCATTTTAGTGAAGCGTCTCTGTGCATCATTTCTGTTATCAAATTATTAAAGGAAATTTGGTGAGTCTAATGTTCTTCAACTAAAATATTACAGTCTAAAAAAAGACAACAACAAACTAAGACCATGTGAACCATGTTGTAGTGCTATTTGATGACGGCCAAAAATCAAAATCACAATTATTTTGGTCGTATATTCAACTTCAGGAACATCATCCATTAACTCAGTTGAAGTATTAATGATTTTTCTGCAGGTTTGTGTCCTCTAATTAAAGGCTTCCTTTCTTGGCTCAAAATAAACTTCACAGTGGAGAAAAAAATTGTTTTTGTTCATGTTCGTCGTTAAGGTTGTAACAATTTTCCAAAGCTACCGTTTAACATTTTACTTCAGTTTTTCTTTAGAGGGGATGGGAGGGCAAAATAACAATTTTGGCAATAAACGTGTTTACTCTGATATATTTCCAGTCCACTCATTATCTGACCAATCCTTAAACACAGGTATCCACATGGGTACGACACTACATGAAGACAAAACTGATATATTATTGTCATTTGTATCTTAATTATGAATTATTGCACCCTTAGCAAACAATGGAAAATCATAATTAAATATAATTATTTGCACAGCCCTAGCTTTTTGTTATAGCTCGTTATTTGTCAGTCTTTCAGACTATGCGGCTATCTGTTTAAAACCAGATGTGAGAAATGCACTGAACATCTGTCACCCCAGATGAACATTCCTGTGTGAACCGGTGGTTCTCTCTCTTCATCAATCCAAACAGCTGACAAAGGTTGTCAGAGCTGCTGCTTCTGCTGCAGGACTCTGATAAGGATAATAGTGCTGAAATTGTGTTTGCAACTTACATTTCCTTAAATTCCTTAAATTTCCTTTGACATGAAAAACATACTGGCCCATACATGTTTCTCAAACTGCAGCCATGTGTACAAACAGTTATATGGAGAAGCTGCACTGAGATTTTGAAGCAAATCTAGAAATTTCTTGTGTGTACATAAATATATGCATATTTTCACCTGTCTTTTAGCGATATCTCAGTAAAGAGAGCCTATTAATGAAAACGTGAAATTGGCCAAAAGTTGTAGTTTTTTAGTTCCTATTATATCCTATTGTGTAGTTCCCTAAGTTATACAGGGATACAGTTTTGAATTCATCAGCTGAATGTAGCTGGTTGATTATTTTGGAAATGTTTCAAAGCAGCAACAGATGTGGTTCAATTTTTAGCCAGCCACCACCAAGTGATGTCAGTTTTTTTTTTGTTTTTTTTTTTTTCTCCTTCTACGGTGAGGTCACAGAGTATGTATAGAGCAGTTAATTACTGCACACGCAGAACTTCTGCAAAACCCTTTACTAATATAAGCCTCGTTGTCATGACTGCAGCAGTGCACTGCACAGAATAGTCGACTGTCAGGTCAGATGAGTTCAAGTTGTTCTCTGCCATCAGGTAAGTATGAAATATTCAAGTTAGCTGACCTTTATGTATATTCTATTTAAAGAACCCATCTCTTCCTTTGCAATCAGACATGTGGTTTAGGGTTGGTTTATACTGCTCTAAAAGTTTAGACCATGAACACTGTGGCAGTTAGCTGTGTACAGTTTCTACCAGATGGTTAGCTGGAACTTTCTGAATTTTACAGATGTTGCTTTATGGCAGTTTGCTCTGTTTTTCTTTTCTTTCCTTTCTTTCCCTTTTTTAAGGAGGCCATATTTTACCTTTTGCCTATCTTGTCCACTTTCATTTATTGTGTTTTTTCCTTTTTGTGCATGTGTAATATCTGCAGAAGTTACAAAGCCCATGTCAAAAGGAATTGTCTACTTCAGAAAATACTAGTTGTTATTAGGTGTCTGAAACACCTTGTTGGGGTCCAGCTTTTTGTTTTGTTTGTCTGTATCGCCGGGTAATACATTTGCCTAATGACCTCCGGCAGAGAACAAGCACCCTACAGACCAACATTTTTATTCTTTTACAGTAGCTCAGGCTGCACCTTCAAGTCTTGGTTAAATGCCAGACATTGATGACTCCTTACTACTACAAGCCCAGGCTATACTATTATTTTTACCTCTTCATGCTTCGTCCAAACTGATATACTTGATCACAAAAAATAGGGCTGGTAGATGCTGTTTATATGATGAAAATAGGTAATTTTAGTCTGCTGCTTGGTGGTTGTTTGGCACCATGATGGCGTCATCACATCATATGTCATTTGTGGATATAAATGATGTTGTCATTAATTTAAAATAATAGGGTGCTTTCATCAGGCGTTTTAGGTGCAGAAATACTAAAGTTCTTATGTGCCAGATTTGTTGCTCAGCCACTGGTCCAGGAGGAGCTGGTAGAAAAAGACAGATTTCATGTATTATAGTAAGATTTCCACACCACTACCAGGAAAATACTCTGTGCTGTTTTGTTACATGGCTAATGTGGGTATAATTATATGCCCAGAGGCCAAAGTTATGTCAACATTTTAACAGCAAGGGGCAGAAACTGGGGAAACTTTAAGACCAATTTTAAACCAGTAAACAAGGACTGGGAGGGAGTTGGTTTGTTTCCATGTTGCCTTTTTTTGCTGCAGTGCGGGTCTTTGAGAAAATGGTAAGGGCATCCAAACAGTGTCTTCTGTTGCAGGTTCTCGTTGTTTGCCTGATTCTGGTTCTGGCTCCACTGGCTGATGGCTACTCGTGTTCTCATGAGGTTTACGGTTCGCCAACAGTAGTCTTTTGTCTTATTGTTTGTTCCAACCATGCAAGGCAAACAGAACTTTTCTGAAAGGTGGTCTGAAAGACACTGTGTCTAGAATAGAGTTGCATACAGAGAGAGAGCAGCAATGTAAAGTTTGGGTGAAAAATGATCTATTTATGGTTGTGGACCTCTAAAAGGAAATGTATATAGCCTTTTAAATGGCATTAGACATCTTATTATTATGATGATTTGAAGTCATTTGTTTCTAGCTGTTTTTGTACCATTGCCACACCTTTAATTTGACTAAAATGAAAGCATCAACACCAACATTGTCAGTATGTGCAGATGTACACATTGGTGCATTTGTCTACCTGAGTGTAATTTGTTGGTTTGGTTTCATTTTGGTTATGATGATTGGAATGTGAATGTAGAGGGCCCTGCGGCATAAACCACACCAGCTATTTAACCCACATGCACACCACTGCCACTTGCATCATCTCACATATGCAGTCACTACCAATGCACGAAATCTCATGGTTAGCCAGATACTATTGATTTATCTGGCCTCACCCAGTGTGTAACTCTTAAAAATTTAAGAATTGTCTTTCTTTGGAAGGATCTCACCTTCCTACTTCCACACTGTCAAATCTCTGAGCATCATACTTGTAATATTTCAATTATTGCTATGTAGCCATGTATTGATAAACAATCAATGCTAAATAAAAGATAATCTTGGATGGTAGTATCCTCTGATAGACGTATGTAGCGCTACTAACGCTATTTAGAGTCCAATACTCAAGAACTCTGGCAAATTAAAGTAACATTTGGGCTTGGTTTAGATTTAGTTGCTTCGATTTCTTTTCCATAATTTTTTTTTTTTTTTTAAATAAATATTTGACATTGTGCTCCCTTGCTGAACATTTTCTTTCTTTCTTTGTGTGACAGGAGTGTCTCCAACAGCTGGTGATGATGCCTTTACCAAATGTGCTGATACTGGGCCGGAACCCCCTCTCTGGTAAGTGCCAGCGTACTAAACAGTACGTCTTCATTATACAGACTGACGGTCTGACCTGTCCTGTGCCGGTTTTAACTTGACTCTAGCTGAGTGGCACTGGTAGTAAGTGCATTGCCGGCAGTTCACTAAGAGGACATTCAACATTGCAGAGCTCCCCAAACTTCATCAGAATGCAAATTTAATCCTGTTAAAATTATCCAGTGCTTTGATGTTTCATGTGTGCTTTCTCTTTGGTGCCTTTTTCTTTTTCTGCACAATAACGAGCTGTTAAATGTCATTCATAACCCACGCTGAATCGAAACTTCACAGCAGAAAATGAAAAATGTTGATCATATTTTTGCAGCGATGTGAAGTGGACCAATTATAGGTTTCACAATCTTTCTGCAGCTCTATTCTCAGAAAGCGTTGTGAAAACTTGTACACACATTTTCCACCACAAGCAAGTCGCCCACGGCCACATCTGTAGAGTTCTATTACCCAAAGTGTTAAATTCATTTAACCCCTTGGCATCAAGGCTTTGACCTGGTGCTCCCAGCTATGCAACTTAATACGTCTTAGTCGCCTTAAAAGCAACAATCGTGCAGAGTCAAGTGTTCGAACACCATGATAATATTTTATGTAGCTTGACTTGTCCAGCCCTAAGTGCCAACTTGATACTCCAGCATGAACTTAAGTAAGCCACTGAGGAGAAGATGACTAACAGCAGGTCATCATTTAAGATTATGCCGTAGTGGTTGCAGAAATACATCTGTATTAAAATATATAATTTGGGGGGGGGTGGTCAGCCAGTGTAGATCAGTAGACACACAAAAGATCATTGGATTGATTGCTCTACATTGGGAAAACAGTATCCACGCAAAGGTTCAGAGCTTTTGTGTAGATGTCTGCAACTTTAATCATGAGCTCTTCAGTGTATTGTTTCCAGGCTCAGGTCACAGATGTTGCTGAAAGATCTGTACCTTTTTAAATACCCATCCTCCCCCAGCTGCCTTATCATACGTTCATCACAGCAGTTTGTTATTTTTGGGTTTTCAGCACTCTTTAGTGGTCAGAATTACCCTTTTTAATTCTCATATGCCCCTACTAGCATGAAAGGTAAATAAATGAACAATACGAGGCTGCAAGTAGTGAATACTTTTGTGTATGGATCACTGGCACCAGATTTCCTAATTGCTTTTATTTGGTGTTTATTAATCCTTGTCAGCCCCTGTTTGTTTGAATACATCACTGCCATTTTCACAGCACCTTGGCAGTCTTTCACAGCCTCACGCAGCAGCCTTTAGAAGTCCTGAAGGGAATGTTAAGAGGATACCGAGGTCGACCCATTGCACGAGTGGAGTGAAGCTCCATGCAAGTGGGCCAGACCAAGCAGGAAGACTTCACTCATCTAGTGCTTTTTACCTTGTAGCTCATCAGATTATCACTCAGCAAGGCAGCAGCCAGTCAGACCAGTGCTAGCTGTGGAGCTTGGCTCGCTGGCTCAGTGACTGCCAGCTGAAAGTCATTGGCCATGTGGCTTTTATTATGCTCCCATTAGGGGGGGCAGGGGACAGCTCTCCATGTGTGTGAGTGCATGCATGTGTGTTTGGTGGATGGGGGAGGGGTGTCTTCACAACAGTGAACAGTGGGAATGCACTGTAGTACCCCCCTCAAGGCTCTGGTTTAACCCTAGCTCCCCTTGCATAAACATGCAGGGTTATATGTACAGACAAACACTCCCTTGTGCATGCAAGTAGTGTCTGGTCAGTACGGTTATGTGCACATGTCAGAAAAACAGAGTAGCTCCTTTGTTTAGTCTGTTTTAAAGTCCGTGAATTATCATCACTAATATCTTAGCTAATCTATAGCTGCTTTCCTTGGGCAAATTGAGTGGCCTTTTATAGTTATAATCCTCTTTTCATCACTCCTACTAATGGAAAATGCTATTCACTGACAGCAGCCAAAAACAAAGCTGATTGAGTCATCATCAGACAAAATGTAAAGGTAAATTAGTGGAGTGTTTTTGGAGCATTTCTAAAACCTACAGTATGCTCCCTTATATTGAAGAACGCCATAATCTGAAGCCCTCTTTAACTCTATGCTGAAAACTTATACGTAAACTACGAGGGGCATAAAAGTGTAGGCATAAAAATAGTTTCCGGTCTAAATCAGTATCGATCACAGTGCTTTGGCTGTCCTCACTGTATAGGAGCACTCAGACTATTTGTGTTCCTGAGGCTGAAATATTTTCGTTTTGTGGAGATGCACGTTTACCTCTGTTTGTGTGTCACCCACTGTGTATTTGTGTGAATTTCCTGTCTTTGCATAAGATTTGAAATAGGACTTTGCTTCACCATGTGCAAAAATACCTTTATATAGTGTAAATATTTATTTTATGAATTAATATATTTAAGCAAGAAAATCCGATATGAAAATCTCTGAAACTGAGGAAAAAAGTTCTGCCTATTTTTACTATGTTGTGGTCAGTTGTGCGTCTATAATAAGCAGAGTAGATGGAGAGGAAACCAGTGTTGGGTTAGCTCTGAGAGCTGGGGGATTGGTGGCTATTAATATAAATGGGTAGCCTGCCTGAATAAAATCTATGTGCAGGAAATGCTGGGTAAAGCACAATTGCTCTAAAATGATCTCTAAGTAAGGTTTAGTCAACTCTGCCCTGTCCTCTGCTCCAGTGAGATGGGTTGAATAGACTCTGGCACCTTGTCAAAGCAATATCATATTGCATGTACCAGTATTATTACTGACATGCATGCCATTGGGTCCTGACAGAGCTTGCATGGAAGTACACAATTCTGTTTTTCCTCATAATTGACTCACATCCTCCCCACACACTGCTGTGGCATTGCAGGAAGAAGGGTTGGTAACTGTCCTTCTGACCTTTTGTTTCCTGCCTAAAGGATAAAAGAGGGAGGAGGGAAAGGTGGTGAAAAAGGAAGCCTAGATGAGTGTGCTCAGTCTCAGAAGGTGCAGATCCTCTATAACAATGTTAGAGGATGGTAGGAAGGAAGGATGGGTGGATGTGTGTTGCAAAGAATAAATGGGTGGATGAAGTGATTGGATAAGAGAGGACGAGAGTGATGGAGGACAAAAAGCCAGCAGAGATTGAAGGCGACCTCTTTGCTGCTGGAGGGAGATTTCTTTCTTTATTTTCAACCTTGCCTTTTCGCCTTCCTCCTGCTCTCTGTCTCTTTTGGTTTCTGTGTTTCTATATTCTTCCCTTGTGTTTGTGTTGCTTGTGCGCTGTGGTGCTTTCCTCCTTTTGTGTCTCTTCCTTTCATCTCTCCCTCTTTACCGCTTCTCGCTCTTGTTCTCTCTGTCTCTCGGTTGCTCTCTCTGATGGTATAAATTATTTATCCTATGAGGCCCCTTATCTTTCCTTGGTTGCTTCAGTCGATTTGCTGAGCTAAATCCCTTCCCTGACTAGAATAGGTTCCTGTGGCTCTAATAGACTATTGTTAAGCCCAGTGGCTCTGAGAATTAGTTTTATCTGTCACCCTCCTAGGCCCAAATTCACTTTTTTGTGTGCTTCATAATGAGTGACTGACTAAGCACACTTCAGTATTCATTCTTAAAACAGCACTGGTTATTTTCTAGAGACAGTTATTAAGAGTTAAGAGTATTTACTATTAATTAATGATAATATATACTTAAAATGCAGTGACATAAATGTTCAGTTGATTTTTTTTCTAAAATGTTTCATGACATCATGCCATGTCTGGGTCACACGCACAGTGGATTTGTGGAAAAACACCTGACCTTGTTAAGACTGATTTCCTTACCAGAAGGTTAGAAAGTTTCCCTCTGAGTTGTCAACAACCTGCCACTCATTTCCTTGGTTGCGCTTCAGCACAAATTCTATTACAAGAGAATTTCCATATTATGATTGAAGCATCTCTATAATAAGTGCCTAAAGAAGAAAAAGGCTGCTGCAAAGCTCCAGGTCTACTAGCTGGAATGCTCAAAAAAGAGTGGGGGGGAAAAGAGACCTGCTTCACTATATATTTAACATAACTGAAAGTTATTTTCTCACATATGAATGCTGCAAATGTTGGCACAGTTGGGTCCTGACATTGTCAAGCAGTTGGCACACAAGATAGATTTTCGGTGTTGGCAAAATTCCACTTGGTTTGGGGAAGGATGCCGAGAGAGAGCATCCTAGAGGCAGGATGCAGCGAACACACCGGATTATTACCTGTGATATTTCACAACGTGCAAGCCGGCAGAGAGGCGGGGGCTGTCACACAGACGGGGGCTGTGAGATTAAGTTTAATATCTGATCTGACTCATTTGCATTCTGACATGTCTGGTAATTTCTCAAAAGCTTCAGGGCTACTCTGTAATAATATTGACTTTTGTGCCTCCGATTCAAGACTGATGAATGAAGCATAATTGATTTGTATAGAGAAACCTGTAAAATAATTGAATAGACACTTGCAATGGGAGTCTATGTTTTGCCATCCTGGAGCGACAACAGTGTCTGTTGCTTTAAAAAGCTCTTTCACATAGAAAGCAGCATGTGCTGTGCTGACTGCTAGGCCAAGCAAACGCTGACCACTGTTCTCTGTTCTCTGTCTGTACCATGTCATTTTTTGCGGCCACTTATAGTTTTATGTGTATGGTATGCGCTCGCTTCCTGCCAGTCTGCATTTCTACGGGTTGTGTGAATGTATGGATTTCAGAGGTGCCGTTTGTGTCCACACTGTATGTGAAATGCCCTTAAGTTGTTGCTTTCCACAGCTTTTTTTAACCACCTCAACCCACTCCAACATGTACTTTTCAGTCCTTCATGAAAAGTACTTTCATCACTCATTCATCTCATTATAATCTCTCTTTTTTTGTCATTTGGAAAGTCCCACGAAGATTAAAGTTGTCAATGAAAATTGTCCTTGTGTATGCCTGCTGTTTAGCTGTGATGATTGGCCCATAAAGCAGACCACCCTACATCGAGAACATGCTGTCACTAATCTGGATTTATGATCGTTTTAGCAGGACATTTTTAGCCCTTGCTAGCCCCCCTGGGCCGCAGGATGAGCTGGCTTATCACACACACTCTGGTTATCAACTGGGGGAACACAGTCTTAGTACAGAGAGACACAGATGCCCTTAACTAGCATTAACTATACCACTTAGTCACAGTGTGACACACACACACACACACACACACACACACACACACAAACATGCACCACCTGGTTTGCTGTTGTTCAGTCCCAAATCGCACAGATGAGCTCAGGCCTGTTGAGCAGGCAAGCAGCTGTTTGTGGGTTTCAGCAGTTTCTGACAATATGTCCTGACATGTGGAAGTACTGGGTGTTCACCCTGCCAGCCTACTGCGCTGTGGAAAATATCGTGTCACTGTATCTGAGGAAAGGTTTTATAAGGGGAAATGGGAACAACCCAAGAATTTAGGCTTGTTGGAAGTAAATGTGGGAATGATTTTATTCCTGTCTTAAAATAAGATGAAGCTGATGTTTTAATCTGAACCTACTACATCTTGATTTTTACAGGGAATTTGGTCGTGTGAAGCCCTGTTTCCAAAGGACACACAACCTTAAGATAAATTTATTACTAATTGAAAAAAAATAAAAATCATGCAATCAATCTGAGCTTGTTGTGGTGAAGAGGCTGCGGAAAATACTTCCACTGCTATCAACAAAACACCAATCAGTAGCACTAATTAACTAACCTCTGTGTTTTTACTCCTTAATAAACCACAAAAACTGAACACAAAGCCAGACAAATAAAGGGAGTAACAAGACACACGTAACAAATGATCTTTGATTTCCACAGGAATTTTGTTTGGGTTTTTATGCAGACATATTTAAAGTTATTCCCCTGCTGTGTCCTATGTCTTCCTTCAGCACAAGGTCTGGAAGAGATGAAGAAACTGTTGCTGTTGCTACTAGGCTGTGCTGTCCAGGTAAGAGCTCAGTGTAGGCGACCTAAACGCTCCACATAAGTGCATTTGATACACGTTTCATGCTGCTGTGAAAGTATGGACTAAGAAGGTTCATAAAAGACGACTATCAACTCAAGATGATATTTTATGAGGAGGTCAAATAGATATCATTGTTATTTGTGTCATTTTTAGTGGTCATACTTTTGCAATTTAATTCTCAATCCAAAAAACACATTTGGAAGAGTTTAAGTCTGTTTAGTCAGGTCTTCCTTGATTTACTGCCAGCTTTAACTCTGATACAACTAACGCTGTGTAATGAATGACAATGCAGACCTTTTTCCTGTCTTATGACAAAGCCTGCATTCAGCTCTTACTCACTGCACGTCAGATAAAGCCACTGACCTTTCACCAACTCCATTGTTTTATTCAAATGAAGCTGCACCTGTGTTCATGCACTTAACTCTGACTTGATAATGTGCCTACCACAAGGCTGCATTAAAACGCACAGATGCCTAGCTTCTAATCAGAATTATTCATTAAAAATAAAAAATACATTTTTCCATCTTCTTGCATCTTCTTATTCAGTTCAAGAGCCTGTCTCAGCTGTTTTTGCTCTTATCATCTTTCTGATGTATAAGAATACATTAATGCTAACCTCCTCTGGACCCCCAATTAAACGTATCGACTATGTCACATCTCAAATATCGTGCTCTTCTTCTCTCATTGAAGATTTAGAGATTTAACTGTTGCCCCTGCATCCTCCTCTCTCTGTTTACAGTGTGAGAAGAAGGAAGAGTACATTGAGCGTATCCAGACTCTGGACTTTGACACCAAAGCTGCCATAGCATCACATATCCAAGAGGTATTTCTCCTCCACAGCAAACACAAAAGAGAAAATGTTATAAGCCTTGCTAAACCTTTCAGCTGGTGTTCACCGTTACATTCACTATTCGCTAAAGCTTTATTGACAATATGATGGTAATTTTAGGTGACTCATAACCAAGAAAATGTAGTGGACCTGCAGTGGTTGGAAAGTGGGGAAATACCTCCAGAGGATCTGGACAGCCTCTCCAGAAACCTGGCTTTCCACCTCAAGCGCCTGGTGGATGAAAGGGACACACAGCTTGAGGTAATGACATACTGTATATGTGTGTGTGAATATACACTTATTTAGGCTTATTAGTAAAATGACAAAGTACATAAACAATGCAGACCAAAGAACAAAGAAGTGTAGAAAATTTAATGAATTGAAATTCTCTCTGTTGTTGGGGGAGATTTGCTGATGAAAATCTAAAGGTCACTTTCGAACAGGGTTATGTGGAAATTTTTCCTTTTTTCATGTTACCACACAAGAGAAACCTCAGGAAGGAAGGGTTGAAACTGTTAACTGTCGCATGGATGCGTGTGTGTGTGTGTGTTTGACTTTGACTTCGTGCGTCATTGAGTTTCCAACCCATGGGGTGCAGATCCCAATGACAGATACAGCTGATTTGTGTGTGTGTGTGTGTGT